AAAAAAAAAAAAAAAAACCACTGCCATGGAATTGGACCTGACTCATAGCGACCCCTCTTTGGGTTTCCAAGGCAGTATCACTACGGAAGTAGACTGCTCAGTCTTTCATCTATGGAGTGGCTGGTGGGTTTGAACCTCCAGTCTTCTGGTTAGCAGTCAAATGCCTTAGGCACTATGCCACCAGAGCTCCATTGTTATGATTGTTGTTGTTGTTGTTGTTATGTGCCATCAAGTCGAACCAACTCATAGTGACCCCTCCTTGGGTTTCCAAGGCAGTATCACTACTATGGAAGAAGGTTAGCTGTCAAGTGCCTTAGAGCTCCTTTTGTTATGATTAGGATGCCTTAATATCCTATTTCAAAAACCTCCTTTACAAAAGACTGAGCCTTTTGTTATTGCAATTGCATTTCAAACCTACCCACTGTCCCTTGCCAAGCATGGCCTCATGGTTGCCCTATTTCAGTGGAATGCATTGCACAGCTAGGTGTGGTTAACTTACTTTAAGGGCACACCTGTTCAGAAACCATCACGGACATCTGACATACCAGGACAAAACAATTTACTCTGAGACTCTGTTGGTGTTATGGGTTAAATTGTATCCCCCAAAATAGGTATTAAAGTTGTAGCCCCTAAACTGTGGGATGTGATCTTGTTTGGGTTTATCTTCTATTATCTCATGAGGTCATACCACTGTAGGGTGGGTTCTAAACCTAGTAACTCTGAGTTATCAAAAGAGCAGAAGAGACACAGGGACACATGGAGAAGACAAATGCCACATGAGGACCCCCTACAAGAAAAGAAATGCCAACAATTGCTGGCAGATGCCAGAAAGTAAGAGAGAGAAGGAATCAATATAGCTAAGATGCTGATTTGGACTTTTAGCCTCCAGAACTGTGAGAAAATACATTTCTGTTCATTAAAGGTACCCATTTGTGGTATTCATGTTACAGCAGCACTACGTAACTACAACAGATGCCTTTAATGCTCCAGCCTCATCTTTCACTACTCCACCACTCCACTACCCATTCCCATAAAAACCACTTAACATCCCCCAACCTGTTATATTCTCACATTTCAGCATATGCTGCTCCCACTGCTGACTCCAACCTATCCTCTGATGCTCTGGTCAGGTGTCACCTCCTCCAAATGTTCTACTGCAACCCCTTTTCCATTCCACTCTGAGGTAAGTACCCTTTTCAGAATTCCACAGCACCAGGGACATTTCCACCTTAGAAATAACTCACTGTACTTTTTCTTTTTACTTATCATCTCTACCCAGAGGGCGTGAACTTCAAATGAGCAAATACTATGTCCTTCATTTTTATACCCCCAGAACTCAGCTCAGTGTCTGACACCCCCAGCAATACCACTACCCAGTGACTCCTCATATGATGGGGGTCTTAAATCACCTCTGCTTGATAGAGGAGAAGATTCTTCTCCATTCCAAGTTCCTCTCTCTTAAAGAAACAGATCGTTTTGCTCTTTCTCTTTGCAACACTCTAATCCTATTAAACAGAAAGCCATATGCAATTTATACTAGGAGTTGGCAATCGATGGCCCATGGGCCAAATCTCACCCACTGCCTGCTGTTGTTTAATAAAGTTTTATTGGACCACAGTCACATCCTGTGAATTTACATAATGCCTATGGCTATTATATGCTTCATTGGCAGAGTAGTTGCAGCAGAACTTATGGCCCACAAAGACAAAAATACTTACTATTTCTCCCTTTACAGGAAGCTTATTGACCCTAATTTTGAACATATCTAGGTCTCACCATTCTTACTGATTTTTTCTTTTCCCCTTCCCCAGAGGAGAAGTCAGCTCTAAGACCCATTTGCATCTAGGAGACTATGCACCACAAAATATATCAAGAGCCAAATGCTGAACAATATTCTAATAAATAATCATTGCTATTGTTGCAGCAGTAAAGTGCTCGGTGGTGTGAACCCACCTACTGCTCCACAGGAGAAAGATGTGGTAGTCGGCTTCTGTAAAGATTACAACCTTGGACACTCTATGGGGCAGTTCTACTCTATCCTATAGGGGTGCTATGAGTTGAAATAGACTCAGCAGCAATGGGTGGCTTTGTTTTGGGGTTTTGTTTGTTTCACCACTTATATACCACTCATTGTGTGTCAGTTACTTTACACAAATTAACTCACGCAATCTTCACAATAACCCTATGAATAGACACTCTTAGATATTCCATTTTACAGATAAGAAATTGAGGAACAAAGGTAAAGTAGCTTACCCAAAGCCACTCAGCCAGCACGGTAGAAATGGGATTAAACCATAGTCCTAACAACTTATCTAACTGCTTCTCTGAGAGTCTCTGTTCTCTGTGACTGTCCAGAACAGAACCAAATAAGGGAATTCTTTTCCAGTGATTTCCTGTCAAGTGTCTGGAACTTTAAGAGGGCTTCAGGATCAGGCTGCTCTGAATTAAGGGACAGGGCCAAAGGCAGAAAAAATGGCTGAGCTATCCTTCAGCACAGTCTCAGGATGCCTGCAGGCTCAAGCTGAGCAGAGCAATGGGGTGAAGCATGGGGACCCTTATAATCTCTGAAGGTTTGATGGCAGACTTGGTACATTTGGTTAATGTTGACTCAGGATACAAACCATTTCCATGGTCTGAAAGAGCCCCAGAAATTATGCCAAGTGCCTGTACAGCTGCTGCAAACTTGAGATAAGCATTCAAATTCACTGTCAGCCAAATGTTTTGAGTTTTCATGTCCAAAAATGAAAATTAAAAAGTATGACTCTACTCTGAGGGAGTTGCACATGGAATTCCAACCCAAGTAAGTATGACCCTCCATAATGAATAAAAAGGCTTGGTCTCTTTTGTTGGAGGTCAAAAAGGAGAAGTTCATAATTATGAAATTGGAAATTGCTTTTGCAACCATCTCTCCTACCCAGGCAAATTAATAGTTGTTGATTCAATATCAACCTTCTCCCGGCCATGAGGAAACCTGATTTTGCTCTGATTCATCCATTACCTGTGAGGGCCTCAGTGTTGCCTTTCTTGCTCTCCTGGTTGCCCCTCTCAGCCCAAACGTGAACTTTGTATGCCTCTCCCGGCTTCAGGTCTGTCAGTACAGTGCTGCTCTGGTCCTTGTCCACCATGGTTTCCTTCGCCTCCCCATCAGTGGAGGTGTAGCGCACCACATACTTGTCTATGACAGCCTGCACAGGGTTCCAGGAGACTGCTGCTGTGTCTTCTGTCACTCGATCTGTGACCACATTGGTTGGACCATCAATTTCTTCATAAAAAATATATGAGAAAAAAAATTAGACTACACATGAACATCTATAGAAGTTCAGTTTCATAACTGCGAAAAATTGGAAGCAACCAAGATATCTTTCAATAGGCCAAGGGATAAACAAATTGTGGTACATCCACACAATGGAATATAATTCAGCAATAGAAAGAAATGAGCTAGCAAGCTACAAAGAGGCATGGAGGAACCTTAAATGCTGTAAGGAAAAAAAAAAGTGCTGCTAGAATGAATGCCAGATATAAGGACTTGTGGGTTTGGGGCCTAAAGAATTTGAAGAATGGATTGACCATTTACAGAGATGTGGAGGTCTAATGGAGGAAAGGGTTTGCAGTAGGGAGTGAGGAGAGCCATAGGACCAAAAGTTTGGTTTGGGGCTTATTAAGGGTAGAGCCAAGATGTAGACCCATTTCTATCTATCCAAGACTGTACATTTTCATTTTTTTCTTGATTCAATATCAACCTTCTCCTGGCCATGAGGAAACTTGATTTTGCTCTGATTCATCCATTACCTGTGAGGGCCTCAGTGTTGCCTTCTTTCTCTCCTGGTTGCCCCTCTCAGCCCAAACGTGAACTTTGTATGCCTCTCCTGGCTTCAGGTCTGTCAGTACAGTGCTGCTCTGGTCCTTGTCCACCATGGTTTCCTTGGCCTATCTATCCTACTTTATACCATTATACCCTAAGCAGCTATAAGTACCATTATTCATTTTTCTTTTATGGAGCAACAACAAAAAAATTTAATTATAAAAATTATAATTAAAGTGGTCTGAAAGGTAAATGCAATCTGAAATCCAGCAACAGCCCTAGATTGGAACTTGGAAAGGCAATCAAAGAGGAAAAATGTTGTTGGATTGTAGACCTCTGGGAGATAGGGCCTGGTTGTACCTTACTGACAGAGTGAGCCCCATGGAATGAGCAGGTGCTGCAATCGGGACTCATAGACCAACAAAGCCATGTCCATGGCCTCTGGAAGCTTGAGCATATTCTTAGAGGATGCTTAGAAGAAAGCACATACAATAGAGAAAAGTCCTTCCCCATACTGTTGTCTTTTTCTCTGCAAGGTCAATAACACTTAACAGCAACATGATGAGTCTACAAGGGCAGTATCTTAATCTGGGGAAACTAATAATGAATTGGGAATAAGGACATTGGGAATGGAAATGTGAAGGCAGGAGAAGAGAGCAAGAACACCTCAGCAGTCCTGCCTCTTGAAGTTCCTTCTCATCCTTCCCAAAGAAACCATCATTTCAATAAGTAGAAGTCACAGCAGTGTCTCTCACCCTTCTCCCTGCCCCAGATGAGTGCATGCTCCTGTAGTTGCCAGGACTTAAACACAGTCCATGGCTTTGTAGAGCTGGCACTGAGCAAGAGGCTGCCTATATGTGCTAAGAGGTCCACCACATCCACGTGTGTAGATAAAGGAAGCACTAACCAGCCTTGAAGCTTTTTGTCTCCCCAGATAGTCCCAGAGCATTGAAGGAATGAAGAAGAACCAGGAAAAGGCATTTTGGCTATGAAAAATAGAAAGGAAAAGTAGAATCATATCATGCCAGGGCTACAAGAGACCAAAGAGTTCAAGCCCAGAGAGGAGATATGACTTTTTCAAGTTCACCAAACCAAAAACCCCACTGATTCCAACTCATAGCAACCCCCGTTGGGTTTCAAAGGCAGTAAATCTTTACAGGGGAGCTCTGGTAGCATAGTGCCTAAGGCACTTGACTGCTAACCAGAAGGACGATGGAGCAATCTACTTCCATAGTGATACCGCCTCAGCAACCCAAGGAGGGGTCGCTATGAGTCGGGTCCGACTCAACAGCACATAACAACAAATCTTTACAGAAGTAGATTGCCCCATCCTCCTTCCATAGAGTGGCTGGTGGGTTTACACCACCAATCTTCTGATTAGCAGTCAAATCCCTTAGGCACTGAGACACCAGAACTCCTTTTAAGCTCACAGAGCCAGTTAAAGGCAGGTTCATCCTAGAATCCATGACTCTCTGCTCCCTCCCTCTCACTGTTTTTCCTCTTCATTCCTAACAACAACCATAACTTAAGCTGAAAGGAGGCTCTTCAGTTCCTCTTTCTTTGACAATTATCAGGATGACACTCAGATGCTAAGATACAGAAGCAGGAGGAAGCTGTCAGAGACAGGACCACCATGATAGTCACATGGCTTAAAGAGTCCAGCTACTGCCATGATGGGATGTGGGGGTCATTAAAAAGTTTTTCCATGCAACAAAGCCTTACAGGAGCTGGCCAAACCACACATGAGCTACAGCTGTAGCCTCAATACAAGACATGCTCTCCCCACCTGGTCCCAACTTCCTCCTGCAGTTGCAACTTCCCTACTGCTGGACACTAATGGCCCTGGTGGGACCTTTCTTGGAGTCATTGAAGGTGAAAGAGATTTAAGACAAGGCCTATAACTGTAGTAGCTGAGCCTCACTTTTGCTTGCATGGGTAAATTAGGATAAACATGAGCCCCATTTCAAAGAGATCTAATTTTTAAAATCTAGATAAACAGAAGAGATTAATTAGGAGCTCAATTCACATCAGAACAGTCTGTTTCACTTTGTAACAAGATTGACCACAGGGCTAGGTAGGGAGTGGTTGTCTTCAGTCTATTCTGTAACACACAGAAGCACATATCCACAGGCATTAGGAACAGGTTTCTCCATTCACAATGTTCACTTTGAGTAATCTAGCTGGCATAGTGGAAAATGGCACAGTCATGGTCTAAAGTCTATGGAGCTATGAGCTGGAGGTCAAATATAAGGGACAGGGCCTATGACACTGGTTTGAAAGTGAATTCATGGAAAATGGTTGCCTCTGGGCTACAGCAAGGAGCGCTGGTGGCATAGTGCCTAAGGCATTTGACTGCTAACCAGAAGGCTTGTGGTTCCAACCCACCAGCCACTCCGCAGAAGGAAGACTGGACAATCTACTTCCGTAAAGATTTACCACCTTGGAAACCCGATGTGGGTCTCTATGAGTCGGAATCAACTCGATGGCAGTGAGTTTGGTTTTTGAGTTGGCTAACAGCACCTATACAGTTCACGGTCTTGCTTTCACAGGTCTCCTCTATTGTCTTTTCATTGTGGCAATTAAATTAGTCAAAAGGCACAATTTGTAGAGAATATATATGCTCATAGCAATCAACCCCTCTTCCTGCTGTCTTTTAGAGTTCAAATGCTAGCTAAGCTATTCACTAACTAGTTCATCCTGAGTTTCCTAAACGCTGTAGGCTTCTGTTTTCTCATCTGTAAAATAAGCTAATAATGCTTGCAATGCTTTCTTAAGAATCAGAAATAAAGTCTATGAAGTCCCATAGTAGCTAGCAACCAGTAGGTACTCAAATGGCAGCCACCAGTATTGCTCACCCACTGGGTATGTGTGCTGGGCAGTTCGTGTGGGACAGGAGTCCTGGATGTTGCAGGATTTCGTCTTAGAACATGGGAGAGTTGGGGAAGGAAAGTTTTAGGGGCTGGACCATTCCAAATGGAGCACTCTGTTTGAAAAGTAGTAAAAAGTGAGAAAGATTGTAAGAGAAGCAAAACTGCTATTTCATAGCATAGTCTCGGGGCGGGGGGAGTTCGGAAAAAATTATCGACAAGTAAATACCTTGGCCTGCTGTACTGTGATGTGCATGACAGCCTGTGAAATCATAATAAGTAAGTAATCCTTTGTTTTATACTCACAATAGAAAGGTATGCATCACAGATATTATGAAAAGAATAATCTTAATCATTAAAAGGCAAGAAAATGGACTTTTTAATAATTTAGTTCAAACTTTCATTTTGCAGATGGAGAAAATGAGGAAAAAGAATGCCATTACCCCTCAGCTGGTGACCTGCCTCTCTTGTCATTTGATAATGACAAGTGTAGTTCTGTGGGTCTCATGGACAAGCCCAGGGACATTTCCTCTTGAAGACACTACTCTGGCTCGTGTTTGCTGCTCTGGAAGCTGACCTGCTTCTGAAGCCTGGCCTTTCTAGAAGGTGCTTCCATGCACTTTGAGTGTGTTAACAGGGTAAGGATTTTTAATTGACCCTTTCCCTTTAGTGGTTATTAGTTCCACTGGTTGACTTGTTAAATGGAAAATACCTGGACTGTGTCATTTCTGCCCTGTACATGCTTATGCTGTTCTTGAATTCCAGTGTCTTTTTCCATCTCATGGGATGCAAAATGTTTGCAGAAAATAGATTCTTTTTATTCCCACAAATTAA